AAAGTATTAAGTGAGATAGCAAATTTGATATTTCTAAAACAGAGCTATGTACATACATAAAGGAGTTGCCACCACATTTACTATTACAATTTTTAGTTGTCTTCTGTCATGATTGGTTCGTAGCAAGCCTTTAGTGCCACATGGACCACGTTGTAGCATGCTGCTTTTAATTGGGACAGTGGTGGAGACATGTGGGGTTCTCATGTTTCTGAGTTTGGCATGGAGTATAAAACATATTCAAAAGAAAATATCCTGCTGGGACTGATGTACTAAGAGTAGCACAAGTTGAGGAGAAAAAAGTCTTGTAATTCAGTTTACATGAAGGAGACTCACAGTTTTCTTTTGCCTCTGTCAGGCCTCTGTGCTTTTAGCTCTGAAGGCTTGACCTTTCTTTTTCCACCTACACTCCTCACTATTGCAGTCATGTTTAAGGCCAGGTCAGTGATAAACCTGTGGGCTCAAGATACGCACAATCCTTCTGGAATGTGGGGATAGAAATGAGAGTACAATACGTGTTTTTATGTTGTCTTAAAGGCTGGAATTAAATTTAGTTTTTGTTAGGCTGGGAGACTGCCACTTCAGTGAAGACAGATATTCTGCTTCTTTGGAAAAATTAAGCAGATTTTCATATGAAGACTTTTAAATACTGGGGACAAGTTGTTTGAACATACATGTATGTATACACATATGTAACAAGGCTACTTGGAAGGTGTGCCAGCTATTTTTCCACACAGGTTGCTTGAATTTCAAAAGATTTTGTTCTATATTATCGATGTCTGATCTTTCAGCACACATGTGGACACCATGCTGGGTGGGAACAGGGTCTTTCAGGTTATACATAACTTTGATGTTATTCAGGGTTAAGAAACAGGGTTTTCCATCTATTTTTCTACTTCCTGCAAAGATGGGTTTCCTTCAGAGTTTTTTTTGGGGGGGGGGGGCAGAACTGGGAATTGAACTCGGTCCCTTGCACTTGCCAGGGAAGTGCTTATTCCACTGAGCCATCTCCCCAGCCCCAGATGTTGATGTTTCACTTAAATGCATACTCTCATTGCAAAATGGTAAAGGACAACAGCGCAATATTTTTTCCTATCCTTCTGAAGATGAGTAGGGAATTCTTGTGTGTTGAGTGAAATGTGTCTTGGAAGAAAACAAAGTGGTTAGAAAAAATGTTAAAGCAGCCCTGAAACCAGTGGGGAAAAATAGATATAAGAGGTGAAAAGTAATCTGTAATTGGCTGTTATAGAGTTTGAGGATGAAACCAGATTTTGTATGTAAGAAAGTTTGTTTTCAAATGTTTCCTTAAACCTAAACCTAATTCAAATGAATAAATTTCAGCATGAAGGTAAAAAGCCTTTCTTGGAAACAAAGACAAGAGAGGAGAAAGCAGGATTTCGATGGTTATGTGGTTTTTCAAACTTTGTGAATAGTGTTACACCCACTCATAAAATTGAGTTCACCTGAGATCTGTTGCAGGCGTGTGTGTGTTCAGGATATCTTCCCATTCATGTTTCACCTGGCACTGCTCATCTGAGCAAAGAGGCACATAATAAAAGGGAGAGAAATATGGGCGATAAGGGCAGAATAAGAAAACAAAGATTCTCTGTACGTTCTAAAGCTTTGGCCAAGTGACTGGAAGTCGTGAGTCATGTTTGCATCTATGGAAGCATTTGGGATGGTCCTTTGGAGTGGTCAGCATTTTAATTGTACAAACCTAATAATTTCATGTGGGACACAGTACAATTATAGTAAAACCTTGGTTTATGAGCATACTATGTTCCAGAATAGGCTTGTAATCCAAAGTGCTTGTACATCAGATTAGAAGATGCAGAAACCACTCCAGACCTGCCCAGCCACCTTATCTTTGACAAAGGTGCCAAGCATTCACTCTAGGAAGGGTAGCCTGTTTAATAAGTTGTGCTGGAAAAACTGGCTGTGCACATACTGAAGATTAAAGTTGGACCCCTATCTTTCACCATGCTCTAAACCAAATTCAAAATGGATTGAAGATCTAAATATTAAAACAGAAACATTGAATTTGTTGGAAGATGGAATAGGTACAACTCTTGAAGACACTGGTGTAGGCGGACTTCATGAATTAGACCAGAACTACACAGGAACTGTCACAAAGAATCAACAACTGGGATCTCATTTTATTAAAAAAAAAAAAACCTTTTGCATAGCAAGGGAAACCACCAACAGAGTGAAGAAACAACCCACAATGTGGGAAAAAATGTTTGCCAGCTGCTCCTGAACAAAGGATTGCTATGGAGAACATATAAAAAACTGAAAAAAAAAATCAGACCTCCCAAATTTAAACACCCAGTCCAAAAATGGGCATCTGAGATGAATACACACTTCTCAGAGGAAGAAATACAAATGACAAATTAATATGTGAAAAGATGTTTAGCATCATTGGTCATTAGAGAAATGCAAATTAAAATAACACTGAGATTCTATGTCACCCCCAGAAGAATGGCTAACGTCAAGAAATTAACTAATAACAAAGGCTGAAGGTGCTGTGGGGAAAAAGGAACCCTTCTCCACTGTTGGTGAAACTATAGACTGGAACAACCACTGTGGGAATCAGTGTGGGGATTCCTCCAAAATCTAGGATTGGAGGTTCCATTTGATCCAGCTGTTCCCTTTTTGGGTATGTTCCCAGAAGAATTAAAAGCATCACCCCACAGCAGCATATATGAACCCATGTTTACAGCAGCACAATTTGTAATAGCTCTATCTTGGAAACAACCCAAATGCACATCAACTGAGGAACGAATAAAAAAAGATTTGGTCTTTTTATACAGTGGCATACTACTCTTCCATAACGAAGGATAAACTTCAGACTTTCATGGGTAAATGGGTGCAACTAGAGACCATACTCATTAGTAAAATAAACCATATGCACATGTGCAAACATCATATTATCTTCCTAGTATGAGACTCTGAAAGAGAAAATAAGATCCAAAATGTATACTAGGTATTTTAAGATGAGAAGAAACTTCAAAAACAAAGAGGAACTGGGATGGGGGAATAGAGAAGGAAAAAGAGGGAAAGGCAAAGGAAAAAAATATATGATAGTTACGCTAATTTTTCTTAATTCATTGAAAGGTTTGTGTTAATATCATTTGTACAATTACATGCCAATATCTTGTACTCTGAGCAACTAATTTAAAGATAACAATACCCAATGTATTCACTGTTGTTACCCTCCTACTGTTTTTTTAAAATGTTGCTTTAGTTTTTTTAAAACTAAAAAATCCCCAAAAGTACTTATATATCAAAACAAATTTCTCTGTAAGAAATAATAAAAACTCAGATGATTCATTCCATAATCCCAAAATATTCATATAAAAATGATTTCAATGGGGCCGGGGAGATGGCTCAGTGGAATAAGTGTTTCCTTGGCAAGTGCAAGGGTCTGAGTTCAATCCCCAGTTCCAGGGGAAATAAAAAGATTTCAAGGCCCAATGAGATAGCTCAATTGTCTAAAGTGCCTGCTTAGGCAAGCACAGTGACCACAGTTTGATCTAGGTACCATCTGCCGTGCCAGCCCCGCCCCCAAGGGCGAGCTGAGCAGGCCACAAAAAAAAAAAAAATCAATATAACATAAAACCAAATGATGAAGGAAATAGAAAGAGAAATGTAAACAAATTACTCTACACTTGCCTTTGAAAACCTTCATGCCTGTTGGGAGGGAGACAAGAGAGTAGACTGGTTACTGTGTAGGATGATTTTCAGTATCACTAACCAAATCACCGCTATGTATTAGCTCAATAGCATCTTGCTTTTGTGCAGCATTAACAAGGAACCTATCTAATGGCACTTGCTTTTGCTTCCTGTTGAGGTTTTGCAGTGAGGTAACAGTGGGATGTCATTAAACAGATTTGTTTCACATACTGCTACAACCTTGTTCAAGTGGTACTGTACTTTTCTACATTATTCTTTTCTGTTTCCCACATTTTCCGCATCTCCCCAGTCTCATATGAATGGAGTGATTCCTCCTCCCTTTCCTCTGCCTCCTCTGTGGATGAGATCTCTTTCGTAACTTGCTTTTTGGGAAATCATCACCCGCAATCACCAGCCTGGAGAGGGGGACAGGGAGGCCATTGGCCCAGTCACGAGCACATGGCACTTGGCCTTGTATACTACTCTACTACTATTGCAAGACTTCAGTTGTTTATAAAGTTAAAATCTACTAGAAATGTTTACTCAGCCTAAAGACCTCCGACAGTGCAAGTTACTAACATTCCAAGATATTGTACTTTTTGGTAGAACTTTTTTAGATTCTCAGATGAAGTGTGAGGACTAGTTAATGCAAAATGTTTGGATTCCTAGTTAGTGAATTGTTTTGCCTATATTAGAATTTATGCAGTTTCTCCTTTGATTTTCTTTTCTTAAATCAGGCTTTATGGTTTTTCCTTCTAAAAACTGTGTTATTGCCTAAAATTTCAATGGAGCAGAGAAAAGAAAATAGAGAGTGTAAGGTGTGGTTGTCAAAGCCAATGGAATTTCTCAGATCCTTCCTGTGGGAATGTATATAACAGGCTGGGTTTCATTCTGGGGTCCCCAAAAACCTTGATAGGATTTTTGCCTTCTCTGACTTAAGTATTATTTTTTTGAAAACAAGAATGTGTCATAAGATGAAAAGTTATGCATGTGAGCATGGTTTATTGTAATCTGTTTTTGGCATAACTTAGACTATGTTGGCAGTTGTGAAATATGCTCAGATAGGCAGTTTCCCTTTCTTTTTCTAGGTCATAATGATTTCATGAATATTGTTATAGTTCAGGCAAAGAACAAATTTGCTTAGTCAAGAAAAAAAAAATGCAAAACTTCCAAGATGGCTTGGAAAGAGCGAAGCCCTGACCCACTGGAGATGGTCCTGGTCTAGGAGGTTGTAGGAGACTCACAGCACTGCTCAGAGTGAAAAAGAGAGGCACTTCCTTCACTTGCTTGTTTCTTGGATTTTAAAGCCTCTTGTTTTGCTTTATTTTAAGGCCCAGCATTTCTGGATCCTTCTGGAGGGTGAGGAGAGCCCGCGGCGTGCAGTGCGTCTCTGCAGCCTGCCTGTTCCAGGGTTGCAGCAATTTGGGTGCAGAACACCACAGACAACTTTGAAAGAGCCCACTTCCTTCATTCCGGAGAGCGTGCGGCCGTTACACCAACATCAATGAAGGGGAACCCACCGGCTGCGCTCACACCGTTGAAGCAGGTGTGTGAGTGCGATTGTCTGATGGGTCATGGGGCCTGTTGTACCTTCGTGTCACCCACAGATGGCAGTTACGATGGCTGCGTGGGCCCTGCCCACTCTTACAGAGCCACCCTGAGCTGTTGTCCTTAGCACAGAGCAGGCAGCTCTGAGCACTGAGCCGGGGAGGGGTTCCTCACTCCCTCGTGTAGTGGAGAAAAAATGGAAAGAAATATATTTTCTTTTTGGCGCGGCTTTGTAGTGAGAATATCTCATGGAACACTCCTTTAAGCTAGTAAAGAAGAAAGTGCCTGTGGTAGTTGCTTTAGTAAAACTAATGGGAAAAATACAAGGTCTAAAGGCAAAGTGTGCATATATGGGCAGGACATGGGTGCACCAATTAGGTGTGCACATATGCAAGCGCCTTTAGGTGTGCATGCACACCTATGTGCTCACAAGCACATGAGCATCTAACACTCTCTCAGTATCAAATCATAAGGTGATGGTGTTAGTAACAAATGCTTGTCTCAGTCTAAATTGAGCCAGTCAGTTGTGTAGTGAGCCTTAGGAAATTTCCAGGAAATTCTTGTGTTATTTTAATAAAAAAAAGAAGGATAAGGGACCAGGGAGATAGCTCAGTAGCATAAATACCTGCCTGGCAAGCACAGGGTCCTGAGTTCTGTCCCTGATACTAGAAAAAAAAAAAAAAAAAAAAGAAGGATAGATACATTACCAAGGTATTAAGGTATTTCTACAAAGTTGTTAGTTCCTCAAAGCTAGTAGCATATGTTGTTGGTTTTAGTATCTGCTTCGGGCAGCTGCTTTAAAATATTATGCTTATTATTACAGTGAAGTGATTTATTCTTATTTTCTGTTCTTAATAATTTCCTGTTGTTTATGCATTATCTATATACTGAATATAGGAAGACTCAAACATGGAATAGCTTTTTTAATTTTTAAGACAAGGTCTCACTGGCCTTGAACTCGCAGCAGCCCTCCGGCTTCAGCCTCCTGAGTACTAGGGATCTAGGTGTGCACCACCACATACAGCTGGAAATAGCCTTTTGAAAGTGTGCTTATGAGTGCTACCCTAGAAATATTTGTGAATACCGGAAGGAAGGGAGCATTCTTTGTTTTCTTTCTCAGAAGCTTAACAGAAGATGTCAAAGACAATGGATGGGTTGACCAATTCAACAATGTGCCTTTGTGTGTCAGGCACTGATTAAGCCCTGTCGTGTTGTTACATAGGAGATGTGTCCCAAATATGTGAATGTTTAAATTTTAAAAATTGATTACAGTGAAAAATATGTTGCCAATAAAATTTATCCCAAAATATTTCTTCAGGATTTGAACACACTTATCTCATCCTTTTATTGTTTCTGAAGCAGTTCTGCAAATTGTTTTTCAAGAGCATCTTTAGTGGCACTCTTGTGGCTTCCTGAGTGCCCTGACTTGGTTCACAGTGTTTCTCTTTCATATTCATTTTGACTTTGGAGTGACAGCCTGAAGTCCCACGGTGTCAGACCCAGTGACTGACTCTGATCAGGACCCTTCCACATGGTTTTTTTTTTTTAGCTGCCTTTCCACTGGACAGCACTGGGCAGCAGCATTCAGTATGATTTGGATCATAACTGCTAAAGACACTCATGAAAGAGGATTCCCAGAGCTGCCTCAGAAAGCAGAAGGCATGCTGGGATAAATAAATGTGTTTGAGGCAACATGGAGCATCTTGAGGGGAGTTAGTTCAATGTAACTGTTAGTATTGTAAATGTCATTTAAACACACACCGGAAATTTTGTCACCCCACATGCTTTCCATGCAGCAGATTGCAGAATGGGTTCAGCATCTTGCAGCTTTACCAGCGAGAAGTTAATAATACTAATATGAAAACATTCTAATACGGGTATATGAAAACTAAGATTTAGCATGCCAATTTGCTTCATACTTTCACATATGTTTTATGTGCCCTGTACTGTCTCACATGGCTAAATTTTTTTTTATCGTGTGTGCCTGTACTGTCTCACATGGCTAAACTGTTTTTTATCGTGTGTGAATTGACAGCTTCTGCTGTCCCAAAAACCAAGAGCAAAAGCGGAAATCACTGGGAAAACTTGGCACTGCTACTGAAGACTTTAAAAGGCAGTTAAAAGCTTATGTGCAAGTGCTTTGAGAAGCCTGACCTGTCCTTCGTCTGAGGACTTTGGAGCGCTATTTGATAGCTGGGGAGTAGCGCAGTGGATCCAGCTCCATAGTCTGGAATGCTGAGACCACAGGGAGGCTGAAGGTGGAAAAGGCTGACTGCAGGCAAGAAGGATTCAGGTTGATCTGAAGAGGATCACCTAGTGAGTTGATGCTCCTCTGAGCCCGCAGGCACCCATCCAAAGGGCACTTCTCAGATGTGCAGCCTCTTGTTACCTAAAACAATCTGGGGAGTGAGCCATCCAAAGGCCTCCCATTGTATCCTATCCTATTGGTATAAGATTAGAAATGTAAAAAATTCCAGCCTGCAAAGTTTCAGTTACAAAGTAAAGAGTTGTTTCATGGGTTCAGCTATAAAAATAGCCAGGATCCTTGAGAGGAAGCATTTGTGTTGGGCCAGTGCCAGTTTGCCACACTGCTTTCCACGTATGTGTGTGTCTGCGGGAAATGGTTGCGGCTTCTTGAGCTTGTTTGTTTCTTTCCTACCAGTGAAAAGAGAAATCAGACTTTGGACTCAGTTCTGTCTCTGTTGTCCAGTGAATTAGGAGCATGAGCCCACCTGGTACTCTGCTGCTGTTCTGCTGTGATTTTGTGGGAAAACTTCATATTCACGTCCGTCTTTTTGTGTCTATCCTCCCTTCTGTTAAGATGAGATGCCGTGAAGCAAGCACCTTGGGATAGTTTGATGTATAAACAGGGAGGAAAAGAGGCTGTGCTCTTGCTGAGACAAGGACTGAGTGGCAAAATAACTAATTCAAGAAATCACTTGCCCTTCAAATTAGAACAGAAGAATAAAAAAAGAGACTTGTAAGTAGGACGAGATTGAGAAAACCATGTCTCCAGGCAGGCTAATCTAATCACACACAGAAGGCAGTCTGTTTTCTTACTTGCTGGATGAATTCCACTTTATATTCTCACAGGGAACAATATATTAAGTACAGTATTTAGAAATATTTGTTGAATCCTACTGTCTGATTTTGGCAAGTCCTGAGGAAAAAAAGAATATGTCTTGGATTGCTTGAGCCTTCCTGGGAGGATATTGGAGTTTTCCCAGAGAGGCTGGCTTCCTACTGTGGGAAACACTGGTTCAGTAGATAATGTTGTTAGGATTTATATTTCTGAGGGCATTTAGTTTGCTGCAGCTTTCTGGAACAGCCATAGCCAATCTTATATATCTCGGGATCTGAAGAAACTCAAAGTGTATGTTAGCGTTTCCTTATGTTGATGTAAGACATCATTTCCTTCTGCCGGGCTCCTAAAGTGTAACCCACTCATCCTGTCACAAAGCAGCCTGAGCTCAACGGCTCCAAAATATTCCACTTGTGTCTCAGAAGAGAAAATGTGAGCGTCACAAATGAGAGTGTGGCGACGAGTTAGGACATCATGAAGAGTCAGGTCCCTCGGCCGGTCCTTTCTTCTTTTATGGAACATCGAAGTAGCAATTCTTTGGCAGAACCCAAAGCTAATTTTGTTCAAATGTGATTATCATGAACTGAGTCATTGAGATTTGCCATGGAAAGAAAGATGGAATACTTAGGAAGTAATATTATGGCCCGTATGTAAATAAAGATGTGCAAAAATAAAAGTGCTTCATGATGAGAAATTTAAAAGAAATACATGTCTTCAGTTTAATGCAGATAGCATAAAATATTTATTAAAAAAAACTTGCACAAGGGCCAACCTTGCCTCTCTGCTTCTGTAGTTGCTTATGTGTGAAGTGCGCTCATCTATGTTCTTTTCTTTTCCCCTCTGATTTTGAGAAGTTGTGTTCATCAACTTTCAATCACTGTGATGAAGTATTTAACAAATCAACTTGAAGTAGAGAAAGGCTTGGTTTTGACTCAAAGTTGCAGAGTTGAAGTCCCTGGTCACTTGGTCCCATTGCTTTGGGCCTAAGGCAAGACAAGGCCTTGTGCCGAGGAGCAGGTCACAGTGCAGCTGGGTCCCACGTGACCCATGAGACACAGGAAGGGTGGCTGGGCACAAAATACCCCCTCAAAGATGTGTGCCCAGGCACCCAGTCCAACAGCCCAGGTGTTCTGCCACCTCCCATGAGGCCATTCAGCTGTGAAATCATAAATGGATTAATTCACTGTTGGGATCAGAGCTCTTTCCATCCAATTCCTACTCAAAGGCTCCACCTCTGAACACTGCAGCAATGGGGACCAGGCTTTAAGCTCATCAGCTTTTGGAGACATCATAGAACAAAACTACAAAAGTTAACCTTCAGTTTTGCATCTGACAATGGGAGATAAGAGCATCACCCATGCACAGTTGCCTTTACTTTTTATTTTATTTTTAAATCAATACAGATGACTGGCAGTTGAACTATGAGACAGGAGTGCCCAAGACAACTGGCCTCTATGTGTGGATACAGATGCGTGCAAGAGAAGCACAACCACAACTGTGGATGCTAAGGAGTGTTTCCTAACCACTGGGTTCTCATTCTGTTGAGCCAGTATTGAATTTAAATTTTAGAATGACTTCTGATTTATATAAAAGTTGCAAATGGCTGGCCAAATAGCTCAGTGGATTAAAGTGCCTACAAGCAGGCACAGGGGCTGGGGACTCAATCCCTGGGCCTGCCATACTGGCCCCATCCCCTGGGTTCACTGAGATGGCAGTTGAGACTGGGCTTGGTGGCGCACACCTGTAATCTCAGCTCTTGGGAGACTGTAAACAGGCAGATCACTATGAGTCCGATCTAGCAGTGAGACCCTGAACACCCTGTAGAACCTTCCCTAAAATACCAAAAAAAAGTTGCAAAGATAAGCAGTGGATCCACATTCCCCTGTTCTGGCTTACCTTATTGTTACCATTTTCCT